TCACAAGATGGGAACAGGTCATGCCTGCTCGAACATAAGTGGCGCTAAAATCGAAGTAAAATCTGCATAGTTAAATGAAAATGTTTGAACCCCATGTCTCTTTACGTAGAGCCTCATCAGTTTCTACAGCTTAAGACATTTAGATATAATGTACTGCTTAAAAAGTTTATATTCTAGTAAGGACTTAAAAGGAAATTAAACCTTGTATTTATCTGCAGTTTCTCATGTATTTTCAGATAGAAGGTCAGATATCAAAAGTAGTCACCCCAGAGTAGAAAATTGCTCCAATCACGCCTTGTAGACATTGGACATAAGATAGAATGATCTTTATACCTCTTTGAGGTCAATGACGTTGGAACAAGTTCTTGTTTAGTTCGCTGATTCGAGTTTTTAATTCGAGTTGAGATGTGACTTTATGTGAGAGCTTTTTATTGTAATAAAAAAGTTAGATGTGACTGTTTCTGAGAGTTTTTTTACTGTAACAAAACTCAAATTCTAAACTCGAATCAGTGAAATGAACGAGAACATCCATTCACAATATTATAAATAAGCAGAGCTTCAACTATAGAGGTAATACTTCTCGTTAACCTGTCAAAACTTCTCGAAAGAATTTTATGGAATTAGAATAGAAGTGTGAGAATACATTCAATTGAATCTGCAGAATAAAGTGCACATTCTATAAGGTAATGATTCTAGTCAAGGCCTATTGTTAAACTTGTGATCAAATATGACTACATAAAGAAATAGTCTCATTTATTTCCTTGATTTTCAGTAACTGTACCAAAATGGGGAAAGGACTTTCTGGATTCATAACATAGGTCCCCTAGGCTGCTTGAAGTCTCACAATGAGGCGGCTCAGGAATTCAACAGCTAGCTAAAGGAGAAAGTGTTGATAACTCTATAAAATGGAGTTATTTTTTGTCTCTTATTTGCCTTTATAATTTGCTTTGGAATCATGATTTTTATTTGTTTTGTTTGATTTTTAGTTTAGTTTCATTTAATTTTCATTTTGTTTTAATTTAGTTTATTTTATTTAAATTTTATTTGTTTTCCCCTCTATTATTTTATTTATCTTCATTTGTGTATTTAAATTAGGTGAAGGTCGCAATTTGGAATTTATTTTTAATTGAAGTAAAAAAAAAAAGGGAATTAATGATAAGTTGCAGCCGGAATAGATGTTCTTCCACGTATGCATCAGCTGGCCTTTGCTCAAGCCAACCACGCAAAGCCACGTGTCACATGATTGCATCAGAGTCCTAGTTGGCTCACTTTTCTTGTTTGCTGACGTGATTGAAGGCTTTATGAAAGCCTTGGCAGCCGCAAAATCAAAAGAAGACCCCCATGGCACGAATTCTTCCAATACCAAAATTAATAGAGCCCCATTGGAGATTTGAGAAGAAAAATTAGGGGAATTATTTTGGGAAATTTGGGGTTAGTTTTAGGATTTTATTTTCTTTAGATTTTTAGGTTATAGGATTGGAGAAGTTGCTTTTGAGGCTACAAAATGAAGAAGAAAGAGATTTAGAAGACGAAGCATAAAGACTCGTGACACCTCCTTTTATTTTATAATTTTATAATTCTTTATTTTTTTTTATTTAATTTTACTTGAACTAATATTTTAGTTTGATTATCTAGAACTACGATATAGCCGAATTATGAGTATTTGATTTTTTTATTTTTAATTAATTCATGTTTTATTCTTAATTATATGGAGTGTTTCAATCTGTGTTTAATGCTTGTGATTGCTTGATCAACAATTACATGAATTGGTGTTTAATTCTGAGACTGAGAAGTGATGATTAAACATGGCCCTGGTTGCTACGCCATTAGAACACCATAAGTTAGAGATAATTATGTGACTACTACAGTGGTTATGATTTCTTATTCTTAATGAATCTCAACATGTTAAAATCTTATAAGAGATGTAGGGTCTGCATGTTTGGGGTATGATTATTGATGCTTGAGAAAGATTAATAATTAATTTAGAGAAATTCACTGTCAGCATTGGGAATAGACATAATTAATTTAAATAAGAATTTTCAGATATGATTAATTTTGGTGAGTCGTAAGCCTGGATAATTTAAGTTGTTTATTTTATTTTTTATTTATGTTTATTTTATTTTCTCATCTTAATTTTGGTCGTTTAAATATACTTTAAGGTTAACCAATTTCGGTACTTAATTGGAATTACCGCAATGCTCGTGGAATTGACACTCTATTCATTGCTTTATTAGCTTTTGGGGATGAGTTCTACCAAAGGGTTATAACAATTGGTATCAGAGCATGCTCCTCCTCAGATTTACGTTGCAGAAGGGGCGACCTGGGGAGGGGCGGCCAGGAGAGGGGTGACTTGGAAAGGCCATAGTGGGCCATCCAGAGTGGACCGCCGTGGACGTCGGTGTCGGAAGCGTGGTAGTATGTTAGGATCATGGTTGAGTCCCACATTGTTAAAGTATGGGCTTAACATGTGAGTTTATAGCCACTTGGGCACCCTCTCCCTACAAACTAGTTTTTGGGGATGAGTTCTACCCGAGGGTTATAACAATTTTGTTAATGATAACGTATACTTGTGTTACGATTTTCCTCATAAGTGTCCAATCTAAGTTCCCAACTTTCAGATGCATTCCTTATCCACGTCGACGTTGAATGTTGATGGTAACAAGTTTCACTTCCTCTTCTTAAAGAATTCAATTTATTTGATTGAAGTGAAAAAAAAAATATATATTGGTGACTTGGTGTTGAAGATGTTGTAGGATTTACTAATCCACTAGGGTACTGTTGGGGACAACATGAGAAATATGTTGTCTACTGTGGAATGAAAATAGTTGTGGCGGGCAGTCGGAGAAGACGGTGGCGGGCAGTCGGAGAAGATGGTGGCAGGCGTCTCCTTCGTAGAAGTCAAGCTCCAATGGCAATGGCTGAAAACTGAAAAACGGTATTATACCGTTTTCAGTTTTTCAGAAAAGACAAAAACGTTTTTGTTTTTGTTTTTTAAAAAATTTTTACGCCAAACGCATTTCCAGTTTGCATTTTCATTTTTTAGTCTCGAAAAACGTGAAAATAGAAATGAAAACAGAAATAAACAGGGCCGTTGTCTACTGTGGAATGAAAACAGTTGTGGTGGGCAGTCGGAGAAGACGGTGACGGGCAGTTGGAGAAGATGGTGGCGGGCGTCTCCTTCATAGAAGTCAAGCTCCAATGGCAATGGCTGAAAACTAAAAAACGGTATTATACCGTTTTCAGTTTTTAAGAAAAGATAAAAACGTTTTTGTTTTTATTTTTTTTAAAAATTTTACGCTAAATGCATTTCCAATTTGCATTTTCATTTTTTAGTCTCAAAAAACGTAAAAAATGAAAATGAAAACAGAAACAAATAGGGCCGTTGTCTACTGTGGAATGAAAACAGTTGTGAAAGGGAAATATGTTACGTTGTTTGGATGTCATTGTTTTGATTATAAAAAGCAGTTATAAAAATCCAAACTCATGGAAACCAACCCAGCCGTTTTAAAACAAGTTGTTGTATCCTACAACAATAGGGTTTAGATTTTGGTGGTTGAAGAAACAAAGCAAGCATAAATCACAATAGACGATAACAATCATCAAGACGAGAATAAGCAAAAGCTACAGTCACCTGTAACGACAGTAATCACAAAACGACAAAAAAGGAACATTAATCAGAAAAATGTCACCTTAAACGACATTAAAAATAATAGAAACGACAATAACTAAAAGACTGACATGATAGATGATACGGCGGTAATAAAAAAACGACAAAAAACCAAGCATAAATCACAATAAACGATAACAATCATCAAGATGACAATAAGCAAAAGTGACAGTCGCGTAAAGAGAGCAATCAAAAAACGACAAAAAAAAAAAAGAACAATCATAAGAAAACGAATCACCTTAAACGACAATAAAATAATAAAACGACAACCAAAAAAACTGTAACCTGATACGACAGTAATCATAACAACGACAAGCAAAAACTCGAGGTGGAAGAAAGAAACCAAGCATAAATCACATGAAACGATAAAAATCGTAAACAAAAACCAAAAGCAACATTCTGACAGTCACCCGAGAGAAATCACCAAACGACAAAAAAAAATAAAACGACCCTAAAGGACAATAAATAAAAATGATAAAAACGACAACAACCAACAGACAAGAACTAATTATTATTATTATTATTTTTTCAGATACAATAACTAATTAATTAGGTAGTTGACTAATGATCATTAGTGTGTCTTCATATATACGTTAGCCATGTTCCAAAGCAACCATTAATATCCATCAAGATTGATTCATAAAACAATCAAATAAATGAGCTTAACCGAGTCCTTCAGAGTTAACTACTCCCAAAACTGTGGAACTTATTGGTAGATCGCCGTCAAAATTCCTGTGTGCTTGTCTGTCCAGCGCCAACTGTTCGACAAAAGTCCTGAAAGACGAAGAAAGCTAAAATCTGAATCTCCATGGCCTGGTTTAGACCCATTTGCGTCACCATGAGATCCAGTGCTTCGTTGCTACTCAGAAAACCCGTACAAGCTCTCACAATGATTATCTTCTTTGCCATTGCTTTCTCAATGCTTTCAACCATGCGACGCCGATTTAGTCCAAGAAAGAGTACTCTTGGTGACCCGAGTGACTGTAATTTTCCGGCGATATTCAACTTCGGAGATTCGAATTCTGATACTGGTGGCAAATCAGCCGCTTTTCATAGGCTTCCTTCTCCAAATGGAGACACTTTCTTCCACAAACCTTCTGGGAGGTACTGCGATGGGAAAGTCATACTTGATTTCATTGGTGAGATCGCTTTTTTTTTTTTTTCTATGTTAGTTCTGTAAATATAGACGATTTTATGGATATTTCTCTGGTATTTTTGTAACTTGTTATGTTTAGACGACATGAGACTCGAGTATTTACTCTTTAACAGTTGGTTCCAATCAAGATATATTTCTATGGAATGTCGACATGTTTTACATGTGCATTAGTTTTCAATGATACTGATATTTTCACAAGTTTCGATATTTCTGGCAATGCTGACATTTTCATGTCTGCTCACGAACGCTTTTGTAGCTGAGAACCTGAGTTTGCCGTACGTGGGTGCGTATTTGGACTCCATTGGAGCAAATTTTCGACGCGGGGCAAATTTTGCCACAGGAGGGTCCACGATTCAGCATGTGGACACGAAGATATTTGGGGCCGGTTTTAGTCCCATCTCGTTGGAGATACAGCTTTTGCAGTTCAAGCAGTTCAAAGCGCGCACCGATGAGCTTTTCAAAGAAGGTCAGGTAAGGTTTTTGGAGATGATAAGAATTATGGGGTGAAACACAGAAACTTGAAATTAGTCGTTTTTTCTGTTGCTTTGCTTCAGCTACAAGTTCTTACGTCAAGACAAGTCTCCCGAGGCCAGAAGACTTTTCAAAGGCCTTATACAGTTTAGATATTGGTCAGAATGATCTTCATGCAGGGTTGAAGTCCATGACAGAAGAACAACTCAAGGGCTCATTTCCTGATATTACCAGTATGTTAGCTTGGACAGTAAAGGTAACATAAAGAAGAGAAAAGAATGCCTCTTTTTTTTTTTTTTTTTTTTTTTTTTTTTTTTTTTCCATAAGAGTAATTTGAGCATTCAACTCTCTAGTCTTATTGTTTTATCATGATCTACTGTGTTAGGAGCTATACCAACTAGGAGCAAGGACATTTTGGATCCATAATACTGGTCCTATTGGCTGTTTGCCTTATTCTGTTATACATTTTCCTCCTAAGCGTGAAAATATGGACAAAAATGGTTGTGTCAAGTCCCAGAACGAGGTTGCCATGGAATTCAACAGGCTTCTCAAACAAAGGGTTTCCCAACTTAGGGTGGAACTACCTGATGCAGTACTCACTTACGTTGACATCTACTCGGCCAAGTACTCCTTGATCTCTCAAGCAAAGAAGCTTGGTAAGTCCATCACATGATCAAACGAGGCCTTAATCAAGAATGTACAATGTAATGGGTTCAGGGGAATTCTGAATATAAAAAATAATAATGAAATGTTCGCGTGGAAAGAACATGGGAATTTGGCCTCAAACACACATGATTAAGGGATTGATGGTTAACATACCTATTCATGTTTGGCTGGGGAATTGCAGGTTTTGGTGATCCACTAGGATACTGTTGCGGGCATTACGGAGATCACTATGTCCAATGTGGTAAGAAGGCAACAGTAAACGGGACTGAGGTCGTAGGGAATGCTTGCAGTGATCCTTCAGTTTACATTAGTTGGGATGGTGTGCATTATTCTCATTCTGCAAATAAATGGGTAGCCCACCAAATTCTTGATGGATCTCTCTCGGACCCTCCAATCTCCATCACTCAAGCTTGTCAGAAGCGTCTTAATTCATGATGACGAGCCCAAGATATGGAATTAGGGAAGCAGAGAATCACGGTAACCAGTTTCATTTCCTCTTCTTAAAGATTTCAATTGTTTGATTCCAAGTTATATATATATATATATGTATGTATGTATGTATATGTATATATATAGAGTGGCCATATACTTATTGGTGTTTGAGATTTTGTAGGATTTACTAATCCTTTCATGATGACCCTTTAAAGTACATTAACTGGGACGGCGTGCGTGACTCTCATGCTGCAAACCAGTGGGGGGCCTACAGGAAATCTGATGGCTCATTTTTCAGACCCTCCATTTTCCATCACACAAGCATGTCACCACCATATTATATCCATATGTCTTTACTACTTCGGGGACTAAACTCTTATTTATCATTGATTCATTTTGTTGTTTTGAATTTACTTTAAATTGTGTATTATTATTTTTTTTAAATGATAGGTGGAATAACAAGAGTTACAAGTATTGTGAATAAGGCCGATTATTTTAAGCAGTAAGTAGCGTGGTATGTATTATTGGAAGCACACTGAAAAAGGGGTAAAAAAAAAGACTTAAAAATTAAAAACGCGACTCCACTGGGGATCGAACCCAGAATCTCTGGTTCCGTAGACCAGCGCCTTATCCATTGGGCCATGGAGTCAAGTTGATGATTTTGCGGTACTTGTTAATATTATATGAATCTTAGTAGATTAAGATCAATGACATTATCCTAATGATACTAACAAAATGTTTGGACGGCTTGAGCCAAAAAAAAAAAAAAAAAGTGTAGAGTACTGGCTTGTAAACATGACCATGAATCCTGGTTTTTCTCTTTTTGATGGAAAGCTTGCGGGACCAATCCAGCCTTATTCTTCTAAGAATGCTCCCACATCATCATTATGTACCGTTACAAAATTAGAAACATGAGCGTAAAATAATAATTAAAAAAAAAAAAAAAAAAGAGACAATGAGAAGATGGTATTCTTTTTTCTCTAGCATCACTTTTTATATTTACTGTTTGACACGTAAATTTTATTATATCATTTTATATTTACATAATAATATATTATATCAGTGGAAGTAAATGAAAAGATGAATTAGAATTGAAGATCTGTTTCTCTATATAATCAGTCTCTTGTCTTGTGAAGCACGCTGAAAATGATGTGCCTTGAAAAGAAGGAAAACGAAAACCCAAAGTACCGTAGAGAAACATCAGCTAATTTGAAATTTTATGGTGTTGTCTTGAATCTTTCTTTCTTGTCCAGATCAAGTTTAGTCCAGACAAAACTTTATGTCGAAAACAACAAAACTGATTAATGCCTTTTGTTCATCTCCTCTCTCAAACCGACATTTCAAAAGTAAATTTTCAACAAAAATATTGAAAAATGAGAAAAAAAAAGTTACCGTTACATAACCTTATAACAAATTAATAACAATTAACCGGCCTCATCAGATATTAAAAAAAAAAAAAAAAAAAAAAAAAAATAAACTGGCCTAATGACCTTAAGTACAGGAGATCGTGGTATAAAATTATACACGCAGAAATTTCAACGACAAAAAAGCAACCAACAATTTTTGTTTGTTTTGTTTACTAATTATCTTTCTGTCTAATTGGCTGATCAGTTCAAATCTGCTCTTCTGATCCTTAAGAAAAAAAAATCTGCTCTTCCGATATATATATATATTTGATCTGATTGACTGTTTCAGCAATACTAATTTGTTATGTTATCTAAATTTAAGAACTTATCATATAAGATGAAGTCAAATATACTTTCCTGAATTTTCTGTCTAATTGACTATCTCAGCAATACTAATTTAATAAATTATCTTAATTTTGAGAACTTATCGGCATCATAAATACTAATTACAAAATACTAAAAATACTAAAGCAATTAAATGGGGTGTTAAAAATTAATTGGAAAGAATGATTAAGAAAAATTAATTAGAAAGACAACCAATTAGAGATGAAAATGAGACTAGAGATTTAAACTCGATAAAGGTTCATAACTTATCTACATAATAAATACTAAATACTAAATACTAAAAATACTGAAGCAATAAAATGAGATATCTAAAATTAAGAGGAAATCAAGATTAAAAAGTTAATTAATTAGGAAGACAACTCATAAGAGATGAAAATGAGACGACAGATTCAAACTCCGATAAAAATTCACGAGTATTTTTCTCTACACCTCACTCACTGCTCCTCATATTATATATATATTGGACTATAGTACTTAAGTTATGCTTCACTCTCACTCTCTCTTTCTTCATAAAACACACATTTACATTTACTCATGGAATCACGTTGCTTGATATCATATATTCTCACTGTTCTTCTAGCACTGTCATTGAGCTTGTCCCAAAGCCTGGTGTTGGCTAAAACAAGCCCATGTAAATTTCCGGCTATATTTAACTTTGGCGACTCAAACTCCGACACCGGTGGCTTATCCGCCGTGTTCGGACAAGCCCGTCCACCTCACGGCGAGTCATACTTCCGCAGGCCTGTTGGCCGCTACTGCGATGGCCGTCTTATCGTTGATTTCATAGGTACAATTCCTCTCACTATAACTCTGCTGTTTGGTGAATTTTCTTTGATAAGACAAACAGGAAGTGGTTAGTTAAGCTCTGTTCTTGAGCATGATGGTTTACTTATAAGCTTGGTTGAATTTTGTGTGTTTCCTTGCCTGGAAAATATGGCCATTTGGTTAACCTCAAAAGGGTGTCTTCTATTTTATTTATTTATTTGTTGTGTTTCTGTTTAGTAGTTTTCTTTCTTGTCCCTGTAAATGTTCCCATGATCTATGTGAAAGTAGAAGTTCAGATCAATCTGTAAAGTTTAATCCCAGAAGGGCGAATAAGATGAAAATCAGAATTTGTCATAATCATAGTTTGTTGTGTTTAGTTACCTTCAAAAAATTATTTAAAAAGTGCTATCTTAAGGGGGCAAAAAAGAAGAATAAATAAAGAAATAGATAAGCTAATTGCTAGTACTAAAATGAGTACTGTTGGAACTTGATACCACCGACGCTTTGCTTAATTACTGTCAAAGAAAATTAAGAGGAAAAACAAAAGAAAGAAGGAAAGAAATAAGAGAGAGAGGAAAGAGAAGATAAATAAATAAATAAATATAAAATCATATCCGTATCAGCATCCACCAACCGTTTGGTTTGGTCCCACTTCAGTGCACTGCAACTTGCTAGATATGGATAGTAGCACTAGATCACGTTGGCTTCAATAATTCAAAACCCAACCCTTTAGTTTTATATGTTCTAGTGAAGAAAAATCTCAGATTGAAAAAGGACATTGCAAAGAAAATCGAAGTCACATTTTAATTTGGAGGTCCAAACAAACTGCCATTTTTTGTTGGTTACCATGATGCAAAATAACAAAGAAAATGGACATAAAATTTCCTTGAGATAAGTGCTTCTTTAGCTCAATTCTAGAACTATATTTAACAATATCAATGTCTCTTTCTGCTAAAATGATTTCCCAGCTGAAAGCTTTGGATTGCAATATCTGAGTGCCTACCTTGACTCAGTCGGAAGCAACTTCACACATGGGGCTAACTTCGCGACCGCAGGATCAACCATCAGACCCCAAAACACCACTCTTCGTCAGAGTGGTTTCAGTCCCATCTCCTTAGATGTTCAGTGGAATGAGTTCTACGATTTTCACAACAGATCGCAAACTACTCGCCAAAAAGGTGCAAACATTCATTTGCCTATATCCTTAGCTCTAATTCCATACTACTAATTCGAACTCAATGGTTGATACAAATTTTGGCCTCAATGTTTTGCAGGTGGTGTTTTCAGAAGCCTTTTGCCAAAGGCAGAAGATTTCTCGAGCGCTTTGTACACATTCGACATTGGCCAGAATGATTTAACAGCAGGTTACTTCTTGAACATGACAACAAGTGAAGTTAGAGCATACATCCCTGATGTACTAAATCAGTTCAAGAATGTAGTCAAGGTTAGCTAGTCATGATCATTAGCTAAAAAATTCTAGAGTTTTTGTTAGTTTTTCTCATTAATCATAATTTACTTTGGCAGTACATATATGGTCAAGGAGGCAGATACTTTTGGATACACAACACTGGTCCCTTTGGTTGTCTACCATACGTCTTGGACCGCTTGCCACTCACACCCGCGCAGATAGACAAAGCAGGATGTGCTATACCTTTCAATGAAGTTGCTCGATTTTTTAACTATGGCTTAAAGGAAGTTGTGGTCCAGTTGAGAAAGGAGTTACCATTGGCTGCAATCACCTATGTTGATGTTTACTCTGCAAAGTACGCTATCATTAGCCAGCCAAAAAAGCATGGTACATTCCCTACCGTTTTCTTATATCCCTAGTCTCACTTTGGTCGGTAACTTTTAAAATATCCTAAACTTGCCCTAGTCAATCAGTTTGCTTTATTTTTACCCTTGCCTTTGTTGGATGTTAAAAAAAAAGAGGACTAAGGATGAGTTGTGTTTCATTAGTATGATGTTATTTTTTTTTGTTAACATCACGTCCATATTCAGAGTGTTATTTTCTATTAACGCTACGCGCATACTCCCTCATCTTTGTTAACACTGAATTAACGAATGAGCTATAACTAAAATAAACGGATAAACATCGGAATTAAATTGAAATATTTTAAAAATGAGGTAACAAAGTGCGATTGCGATTTAAAACTTCAAGGACCATTTGTCGTGTGATAGGTTGATAATTTGTTTCACAAAAAGTGATAATTCAGCATTTTGGGGGGAACATATAAATGTGCTGATTGGTCTGTATATGCAGGGTTTAAGGAAACATTGAGGGCGTGTTGCGGTCACGGTGGGAAGTACAACTACAACAGGAACATTGGGTGTGGAGGGAAGATTAAAGTGCACGGGAAAGAGATCTTAATTGGGAAGCCATGTAATGATCCATCGGTTTGGGTGAATTGGGATGGAGTACATTACAGTCAGGCAGCTAACAAAGCCATTTTTGATCAGATTGTGGGCGGTTCGTTGTCCGACCCGCCAATTCCATTGGAAATGGCCTGCCATAGAACAAAAGCACATTCATGATCTAGCCTCATATAGTACTTAGTTTGGCTGATGTTTTTGCTTCTTCCAATTCAATGTCATAAACGCTGACTTCTTTCTATGTTGGAGCCTAGTAAAACAATGTGATGACTTGTGACTTCATATTGTCCAAATTGCAAGACTTAGACACAAAGGAGCTTTGAAAGGGCATTTTACTTGGTTACTTTCATTTTTTTTCCCTTTAATTTTATATTAATTACATATGAAGAAACAGTACTAGTAGATGAATTATTGTGGCTAGTACGGTTCACATTCAAACTTCTCATTCACATTTCTTTTGCACTTACTTCCAAACCATTTGAATTCTCACTAAAAAATTTCACAAGAAAACAAAAGTGACATTATGTCATACTCTGTATGTGTACCTGTGGGCTCGCCAAAATTCAAAACTTGGGAGTTTAAACGTGATAACATATTTTATATGATAAAATCAGTATTTAGATTTGAGACACAGAATTTGCCATAATTTGGCAGCCTTACAACCAAATACAAAAACATATCCTTAAACAACTAGAAACATTAAGCTTTGGCTGGATTCACCGTAGTTTAAACTATTGTTATTATTACACTAACGTGAAGAAGCAAAAGCTTAGTGTTTATATATTATTATATGATTTCTTTTAATCAAAGATAAAAAAAAAAATAGTAGTTACCATGACATAAGGTATTGGTAATATTTTACATGCATGCCAAATTATTTATTCCCTTTATTTTTACTAAATTAATTTTCTTTTCTTCAGATAATTATAACAAAAACAGCTGTAGAGCCCCTCATAATATAAATTGAGGTATTGTTCATCTGTTCTATTTTATTCATTCTTTGTCTAACTCTCTTTCCCACAAAGACAAATCTTCTCATGGAATCGCATTGCTTCACATATGTTGTTATCACTGTTCTTATAGCACTCTCAGTGAGGTTGGCGGAGACAAGTACTCCATGTGAATTTCCGGCCATATTTAACTTCGGCGATTCGAACTCCGACACCGGTGGCTTGGCTGCAATATATGCATATAACCCTCCTCCTAATGGCGAATCATATTTCCACAAACCTGCTGGCCGCTACTGCGATGGCCGTCTTGTCATTGATTTCATAGGTACATTTTCCTCTCTCATAACTTTGGTATGTGTGATATTTCTTTTCCTTGCAATGAAATGAGAGAGAAGGGAGAGATTAGTTTAGTTCTGTTATCGAGCATGTGTCCTGTATTTCTGACTTTGAGTAGAGAGAGAGAGAAGAAGCTCTACACATCTTGCCATTTATTTCTTGACACATATCTTGAAACCATTATTTTAGTAACATGATATTTAACCATGGAAGCAATCTCATTTGGATAAAAGGTGTAGAAAAGTTTTCTCTTTGACATCATATCCTCACCAGCATCCACCAACCCCTTGGTCCCACTTTACTCTTAGTGCAGTGCAGCATGCTAGTTTCTACTTTCTAGATAGTAATAAGAAAGCAACATTGGCTTCAATAATTCAAAACCTATCCTCCTAGTTTAGAAAGTTTTTATAATGGATAAAAAAGAAACAGAAAATATAGAAGGAAAGGTGCTACAATTAAACATGTATATAGAGTAAGGAAACAAGTGAAAATGGAGTTAAAAAGATTCTATTTGAACTAATACTAGTCATACCATGCAACGCATTAGATGGTGATTGAAAAAGATCTGAATAATAATTGATATTATTATTATTATTATTATTATTATTGTTGTTGTTGGGTTTCACCTAACAAAAATAGCTCAAATTTTAACATTCTAAATCAATTTGTTCATCATCCAACGCCTGATAAATTTCTTGCATGATATCTCTAACAAAGCTCGGTTGTTTTATTGCATCATGTACTACTACTTTTGCTCCACTTTTATCATCACTCCATTTAACAAAATCTTTTCCTCTACAATGATTTGCAGCTGAGAGTTTAAAATTGCCGTATTTGAGTGCCTACCTTGATTCAGTGGGAAGCAACTTCACACATGGAGTCAACTTTGCCACGGCAGGGTCAACCATCAGACCCCAAAACACAACTTTTAAACAGACCGGTTACAGTCCCATTTCCTTGGACGTTCAGTGGAATGAGTTCTATAGTTTTTACAGTAGATCTCAAACTACTCGTCAAAGAGGTGAAACATTTTTCCCATGTTTTTTTTCATCTGAAGTACTAATTCTTTGTGAAGGTAATTAGCAAAACTCAATGGCTCAAAGATATGTAAAACTCAATATTGTAGGTGGAGTTTTTGAAAAGCTTTTGCCAAAGGCTGAAGTTTTCTCTCGCGCTTTGTACACATTTGACATTGGTCAGAACGATTTAACAGCTGGTTACTTCTTGAACATGACCACTGGCGAAGTTAAAGCATATGTACCTGAGCTACTGAATCAGTTCAAAACCATTGTTAAGGTTAGCTAGTGATGAGATCAAAAACAAATATTTGTGAACAACCTATTCTTTTGCATATTGTGGTCCCCAATTCTAGCTCCTTAATCCTGTGATTTTGCAGCATGTGTATGGCCAAGGAGGTAGATACTTTTGGATACACAACACTGGTCCCGTCGGCTGTCTAGCATATGTCTTGGAGCGCCTTCCGGTTACATCCGCACAGATGGATAAAGCAGGATGTGCTTCGCCTTTCAATGAAGTCGCGCAGTTTTTCAACCGCGGATTAAAGGAAGCTGTGGTCCAATTGAGAAAGGATTTACCATTAGCTGCAATAACTTATGTTGATGTTTACTCAGTAAAGTACTCCCTCTTTAGCCAGTCAAAGAAGCATGGTATGTATATTTTCTATCTTCCACCAATCAAAAAATTTCTTTTAGGCACTATTATATGTCATCACATAATAGCTGTAATGTAAGCCGAAAAGTAGCGGTGGTACCACCCTTCGGATAGTGTAGCAGTTAGGATGTCTTTCGTTTTCTCTTCTCAGGATGTGTCCAATATTCGATACTCTACAATTCCACTTTGAAGTCTCCGCCAGACCAATAAGCTGTGCAACATTGCGCTTTTGGTGGCAGGAGTAGAAATTGGACCAGTTCTTTGAGTAAAATTAGGTCAGCTCATTTGTGTTCAATTGGCAAATCCCAAAACTTCTAAAGAATGAGGAGATAGTGGCGGGATGGCACTAATAACACTCTTCTATGTTTAAAAAAAGAAAAAAAATTATGGTATGTAACACTAAAAAATTTTGAGGGGAACAGGGGACACATTTGCTAATTTCCATTTTTTTTTTTTTTTTTTTTTTTTTTTGGTGCAAAAACAATGGCAGGGTTTGAGCAACCACTAAGAGCATGTTGTGGTCACGGCGGGGAGTACAACTACAACGTTAGCACGGGGTGTGGTTCAAAGATGGAAGTGAATGGAAAAGATATTTTAGTGGGAAAGGCTTGTAAGGATCCTTCTGTTTGGATAAACTGGGATGGATATCATTTCACTGAGGCAGCTAACAAGCAGATTTTCGATCAGATTGTAAATGGGTCATTTTCTGACCCGCCAATTCCACTCAAAATGGCTTGCCATAGAAAGCTAGAACATTCATGATCTAGACACTTGTACTACTTAATTTATCAGTCTTGTTACTTCTTTTCTAGTTCAGTTTGATAATATGGGGAGCCAATTGGAACATTTTATTATGGATTCGTCCCATTCAAATTGTAAGTCATAGCAATCAAGACCATATATTCAACCACTTAGTATAATAATTGAGCTTTCAAATAATTTCAAAAAGAGCATCTTTTTAATTACTGCTTTCTAAATTTATTTTATTTTTCCGGAGACCATGCTTATAGTAATGGGTCCATAATTAATATATTATTCACTTAAATTCTGTTTATTTTACTGATTCAAATTTTATTACAGTAAAAAATTTTTAAAAACAATCACATCTAATTTTTTTAATATAATAAAAAATTCTCATATAAAATCACGTTTCAATTCAAATTAAAAATTTGAATCAACCATCACATACAAACCTCGGAAAAGCTTTCTTTCTTTTCTGTTCCAGTGATAGAAGACAAGCCATTCCCACATATGATATATTTCACTCTCTCATACTCAGCATGGAGCTTCACTACTTAGGAAGTGTTCTCTTCAGCCTGCTAATGTGTATGACATTAGTTCGGAGTGAGGCCGGCGTTTCCAAGAGCTCGTGTCGTTTTCCGGCGATCTTCAACTTTGGAGACTCAAATTCAGATACAGGAGGGCTATCAGCAGCATTTGGACAAGCACCTTCGCCCAATGGAGAGACATATTTCCACACCCCATCCGGTCGCTTTTCCGATGGCCGTCTAGTCATTGATTTCATAGGTATTTTTCCAATCTTTCATCTATACATATATATTTTTTCCCCTTTGTCACACTGCCAAGTTTTGCTTAAGAATTTAGGTTAATTCTATAAATAGTTCCCGATGTTTATCTTTATTTTCATTTTAGTGTCCTTCCGTCAATTAAGTATTAAAATTTAATAAAATTTATATAAATTAAATATTAAAATTAAAAACAACTAAGAGTTTGAGATTATATTTACTTTTTAAATTATTTTTATCCTTAAACTTTATACGATTTTAATTTTTATAGATTCCGCTAAACATTTAATATCAAGTTAACAAAAAGATTGAAAGTGAAATAAATTAAAACTTCATGGATCAACTATAAAACATAAAAATTAAGAATTAAAATAAGATTGCGAATAGACATCCTAAAAGTGTAGAACAAAACAGAGGTGAAATTATTATGTTCTCGACTCTTTGTGTGTGTCCTTGTGAGCTCGTAGCTCAATGTGAGTTATTCAAAAAGTTGGAAGTCTGAAATGTGACAGCTTGTAGCATCGATCTCAGTAACATATACGTCCAATTTAGGGACAAATAATTTCATTTGATAAAAATTTGAACGCATAACAATATCATGTTTTGCTGTATTCATCATAGTTTAATGTTATAACACAAATGAAAGATACTTTAGTTATAGTACAAAAGATAGCTCCAAATCTCAAGCTGTACACACGTGACTCCCTGCATTTAAAAAAGCAGAACATGATCCATTTCATAAGTAGTCATCAAAGAATACAAAAGTAATAAAAACTCGATTTCCCATATGAGTGTTTTAGTTTTTAGTCTTTTTTTTTTTTTAACTCAATTTGCATAGTATTTGGATTTTTTCTATGAATAGTTCTTCTGATATGTGCTATTGTAAATATAAAACTTGGAAAAAGAAAAGCTAGAGAAGGAGAAAATGTACTAATTTACATCCTCATGTAATTAAACTGGCTGAAATGCTAGACTAAAATGGTTCTATTTATAATTGGTGTCGTGAAGCTGAAAGCTTAGGATTGCCATATCTCAGCGCTTTTCTGGACTCGCTCGGCTCAAACTTCAGCCACGGGGCAAATTTTGCCACCGCAGGATCAACCATCAGACCTCAAAACACAACCATATCACAGAGTGGATACAGTCCAATTTCTTTAGATGTACAATTTGTTCAATTCTCAGATTTCCAAAGAAGATCACAAAAAATTCGCAAACAAGGTGATCGATTTTGCTGTTTATTCATTCTCTTTTTCTTTTTTTTTTTGCATAATTATTTAGAAAGTAATGAAAATGTGAATCTAATTATTTTGGTGTAGGAGGATTATTTGGGACATTTTTGCCAAAGGAGGAGGATTTTTCTCGAGCACTTTACACTTTTGATATTGGCCAAAATGATCTCACAGCTGGTTACAAGCTCAACCTGTCCACAGAACAAGTTAAGGCTTATGTTCCTGACGTGCTTAGCCAGTTTACTAATGTTATGAAGGTGAGTCAACCACAAGTATACATGCACCATAGATATGTAGATGAAAATTTATAAATTACTTATAGAGAACGTTGCGACATAATATGAAAAGACATAGTGTTTTGAATCATTAGATCACATCAGAATCATATCATATTAAGAAAAATATGATAATTTAATGAAATTTGATGAGTATGTAACATTTTATATCTATGCCCTTTGGATTTTTTTTTTTATTATTAAAAATCCTATGGAAGAATTCTCCAAACATTTTATTTATGTATGTTTTTCTTTTGAAAAGAAAACAAAATTCACACTTTTTATAAGTGCTGCAATTTGTGCTCATAGGGTGTTTACGGTCAAGGAGGAAGATCATTTTGGGTACACAATACAGGCCCAGTAGGTTGCCTTCCTTATATTTTGGACCGCTACCTCATAACGGCAGCCCAAGTTGATAAACATGGATGTGCTAACCCATTCAATGATGTGGCCCAATACTTCAACAGAAGGTTAAAGGAAGCCGTGGCCCAACTCAGGAAGGAACTTCCATTGGCTGCAATCACCTACGTGGACGTCTACTCAGTGAAGTACACCCTCATCAGCCAAGCCAAGAAATATGGTAAATTTCTTGCTGATCCACCAAATTCTGACTCATCACGTAAATTTCAATAATTTCTTGGCCTAGTTTTGAAATTTGGTATTTTATGGGATTTGAAGGATTTGAGGACCCACTTGTAGCATGTTGTGGACACGGTGGAAAGTATAACTACAATCGCTATATCAAGTGTGGAAGCAAGAAAAAAGTCAACGGTAGAGAGATCATAATCGCAAAATCGTGTGGCAATCCGACGGTGAAGATTAATTGGGATGGCGTCCATTTCACCGAGGCTGCTAACAAATGGATATTCGATTCTATTGCTAATGGGTCATTTTCGGACCCACCAAACCCATTGAAAATGTCTTGTTAGGCAACAGATTTTAGAAAATTACGATTCATTACAGTGGAAATGATTAGCATACTAATAAAATATGGATATACTATCTACGAGTGGGACTTACTACTCGTATTTGAGTATTATCACCACTGCAGGATAATAATGCTTATAATTTATTATTATTATTATTATTATTATTATTATTATTATTATTATTATCATCATCGTCGTCGTTGTTTTCTTCTCTCCCTTTGTTTTCTTCTCTCTTTTTTTTTCCGACGGTTCAAAAATCGAGTAGAATTTCCTTTATAAATTTATTATGGTTATTTGGTTTCTTCGTTCTATGCGCAGGGGCGGAGGAAGGTGGGACTAACTATTTAACTTAAAATAAAAAATATATGAAAAAGTTAACTTACATTATAATATTAGTCTCATAAAGTTTCAAAATTATCTTATAAATTATAAACAAACATAAAATTAAAATATATGCAAAAATAAATTAAAATACACGAGTTATAAACCACAAACAAACAATAATAAAAACTCATACAACATAAAATATAATATGCTACCAAGTAATTAATGTAAAATATATGATAAATGTAATATCTTATGAGGTAGAAAAATATTTATTTATATATATATATATATATAAATAGATTAAGTAAGTTCAAGTTAAATTAGGTTAAAAAAAAAACCCAACCCAAACTTGTCCAATTAATATTTGAATTGGGTGGGATAGATTAATCTCTTGATTGGGTTGGTCAAGTTCGAATTATATTAGATTGGATTGAGTGGGTTAATTAAGTTTGCCAGTTTGTCGGATTTTTTATTCACCCGTATAGTGTTCTCTTTCACAAGAATTTAAATTCACCAGTTTGTCAAATTTTTTATTCATCCGTAGTGTGCTCTCTCACAAAAATTTAAATTCAACTTTTTTAACTGTAGTGTTTTCTCCCATATAAATTCACTTTAAGAACCCCTGATGAGAAATTGAATAACAAGTTTAATGATGTACAACGCTTTGGGAAATGTAAGTGCACCTCCTACCATACACAATTTCGTATTCAAGCACATATAACAAAGCAAAAGGCAAATATTGGAAGCTAACAGTTTATTCAAAGCTAAAAGCAGATTCTCAGTCAGCTACAAGTTCAGTACCTTCTGTTGTGTCCCAAAGAAGAAGGGGAAAAACACTACAACCACTTCAAATTTAGCGGGGGCTTGATTTTGTTTTTAACAGAATATGTAAATTTTAAACATCTCTGAAGTGTCTTCAAGAGAAACCCCTAAAAAACACATGCCTATAGACCGAAACTTGTAGTCCTTGTTTCCCAACTCCGGCGGCTAGTCTCATAGACCCCTGCAATTTTCCACAGGGGAATGTTAGTGCAAACAAACAGATATAAGGAATGATGTATATGCAATACAAAATGAGAAATCCGATTAGAAGAGAGAACAATTTTAACTTTCTAATAGAAAGGCTTAAAAGGGGAAACGAAGGGAAGAAGACCGAGAGTATAACTTGTCCTTGTTTCCCCATTTTTCACATAATGACGCAAATTTACAGGGTTATCATAGAAGCTAAACTCTTAGTTGCTATGTATCATAAAATTCATATTCAAGCATTTAGTAAACACACGGCATGTAGAAACCAGATGACTTTCTTCAACACAGAAGCCTTCCCTTATCTATCTATATCTATGTCTTAATCTAAATGAGTGAAACTCATTTACAAACAACAAATTCACCCATGCACTTGGAAGCACTAGGTGGAACCTCCTCATGACAACGTTAGACTCAATTTTTATATAATAGAATATCAAGATGCATCCAACTTCAGAAAAAAAAAAAAAAAGCATTTAGAATAGAGGAAAAATATACAGGAGTGCAAAATTCAAAAGAAAACACAAGGCGGATTGAGAAGGAAAGAAGAAAAAAAAGGGCAGCAGCGTGAAGATTCCAATTGAAAAGGATGTGTTTCTTTTAAAGTACCCGACTTTCTAGACGAGTATCATCACAAAGTTTACTCCTAGACAAGCAACCGGGCAAGCCCCAGCCTCACTAATCCAAAGTCTAATGTAATGGACCTCCCCATTCTTCACAAAAATGAAATATCTACAAGTTATTGGAGCTGCAATAGAAGTTAAAACTCCTTAGTTTCTATATTTCGTAAAGCCCATCAACAAGAATTTAATAAACACCCAGAATTTAAAACCCGGATAACTTTCACCATCACAGAGGCCGTTATCTATATATATAATTTAAAAGAGTGAACTACTTTACAGGCAAAAAAGAGTGAAAGGGGTGTTTAGTAGCTATATATCATAAAACACAAGACCATCATCAAGCACCTGTTAAATCCCCAGTATTCAAAAACCATATAAAATTTCTTATACAAGCTGAAAGAGTTGAACACAAAACAAACAACAAAAATTTGCCCATATCCCTGGTTCTGACTGAAAAAGGTGTGTTTGCTTGTTTCAAAGTACCTGACTTTCTGGATGAGGATTGCCTTCATCTTACGAGCGAGTTCTTGGGATCGAATTTTGACCTCGAGAGCCTTGCGGGCTAAGACGCGCTTCTCGGAGTTCTTGAGGTGGTAGGTCTGCTCGTTCTTAATCATCCGCTCAATTCCACTCCCCCGCATCCTTCGCTCCATTATCCTCAGTGCCTGGTCCAGGTTTCCGTTAAACACCTTCACCCTTATCCCTCTCCATTGCTGGTACTGCCCAGAGCTTAGAATTTCGACAGCCTCACCAGGAGGCCGTTTCAGCAGATTCAAGCTCTGCCTTATCACTGAGTTCATTCCTAGGAAGAAGTAATGGCCAATCAGAATAACAAGTTGTTTGAAAGAAGAAATTCACACAAAAAAAATAATAAATAAATAAAAAACTAATGGCTAAGAAGGATTTTACAGCAAAAAGAAAAGAACCCAAAAAAGCTGAGAATTAACAAATCAAGATCTACATATATTCCTCAAAAACAATCCAATATACAATAATCATTCTTTCCAACTTGATGAGAATAATTCACCTAACTGTAAGACCACATAAAAAGAAACCTTTTTTTTTTTTTTTTAGCAGAAAAAAGTATCTATTAACCAATAGATACAATAAATGGGAGAAGATATCCAACCATTAAAATGTCTCTTTCTATCCAAAAAGCAAACAAGGATAAATCATGTATCGTAAAAACAATACATAAAAGATATATCAAACTGCCTAGAAGAAGAAATAAGAATGAGGACAATTATCTGAGAATTAAAAGCCAAATGCAACACAGACCTGAAAAAAAAAATTAGGATATAAATAATAAATTAGTGGCATGATTAAGGAAAATAAATAGAAAATATTCGTATCTTGAAACCACAGTCAAATTTCCAGTGTATGCATTTGAAGGATTGCAATATTCAAACAACGTTGATTTTTGTAAGGAAGGAAGGCCTTCATGACCAGCCTCTTTTTAATACATAGCAAAGTAAAACACTTTTAGGGAATAAAAAAAACTAAAAAAAAGTAACGAAAATGAGACTAGTTGTAATAAGAAGTAAGAACAGTTATTGACTTTTGAAATAAAAGTAATTGATGAAATGCAGTTATCCTAATAAGGGGGAAATTTTTGAAAATGTTTCAGAATGAAACGGAGGGAAAAAATTTTAATACCTGTATCCAAAAGTAACTGTCCATATTAGCAGAAATTTCTGTTAATTAATGATAAGAACTAAATAGAATCATAAGAGGTTGTCATCATAATAACTAGATAATATGAGTAAAACTTAAGAAAAGAGCTATTGAAACACCCATATGGGAGACTATTTAAACTCTTACGTGAAGAGACTAGTGAAACTCAAGAGGAAAGAATATTACACTGGTCACTGACTAAAGAAAATTGTGAAGTACGAGAAAAATATCAGTAGTAACAAAACAGAGAGAGAAAATCTAAGAGTACCGTATAACTATCATATGAGACAATGACGTAGATTATTATGTACAGATAAACATCGACACGTATAGCAGAATTTGAGTTGATAGGAAAAAAGCAATTAGGAAAAGGAACAAGCATAAGACATTCGCATAATGCAACGTGCAGAAACTAACTGAAGAAACACCCGGATAAACAAGGATAAACTCAAAGATATTCCAGGAAAAAAATGCCATATAGTGGGAATACATATGAATTACAGAAGAAGCTCCAACCCAATCTAGTTACCAAACAAAGAAAGAGGAAAATAATCCTAATCTATACAAATCATTAAAAAACCATTCACACAGTGCTTAATCCAAACACTAAATCTATAACATATTTTGGTCAGTATCGATATATAATAGTAGTATAGACATAAATTAGACATGACAACATAAAAGAAATTGTAGAAGTTTACTACTTTCTAAAGTAACGGGATGATAATTAATAGGAACATTGTACTAAAACAATCAAATTATGCAAAGTAGTACCATTCTCTAACTAAATTACCCAAAGAAAAAACAAATTTACATGAACAAACTTCCGAATGTCAAAACAAATTCTTAAAATAAAGCAAAATATGAACAAGCGATGATAAATATATATATATATATATATATATATATTTATACACACACTTGTAAATCCATGAGATGAGACTCAAACCGAGAGGATCCAATTAGTGATTAAAGGCAATGCTGCGTTAAAACCGTACAGAATCAGTTCCAATCAAGGGGGATCGGAGATATCACTCAGTACCAAACAAGAGTTGAACACAACGATCATTTGTGAAAACGGTTACAAGGTTTATGAGAAAACGGTTACAAAGGATTCAAATATGAAAATGTCGATGTTTTCAATTAAGGTTACATAATGCACTTAAAAGGGACAGAATTTGTTAGATTACAAACATATCGAAAGTTTCAATAAAATCGGAGATAGAGAGAGACCTTTTCGGAATAGAGGCAAGGAACGCAGGAACCAGAATGAGAGCAATCGAAGGTGGCGTTGTTACCTTCCTCGGGGATTTCTTTGAAACTCAGCAGAACTCTACCCGCAATTCCTCCGATTTCATTTGTGCCAATTAGGGCGTGAAAGGAAAGTATTATTCAGAGATTAAAGACGACAACTCTACCAGATTCTTAGACGAGAGCAGCGAAATCGAAGAAGAAGATTTGCTTTAGGTTGTGCTGCTGTAAATGTAATGGGGAACCCTAGTTGTGCAAAGGATAGAGAGCGAGAGAGAGAAGGGACGATGAGTTTGTCCGTACCGTTCTTAAATAAATAAAAATAAAATAAAAAGGTGTGTGTGTGTGTGTGTGTGTGTGTTTTTTTTTTTTTTTTTTTTTTTTTTTTTTTTTTTTTTTTTTTTTTTTTTTTTTTTTTTTCTGAATAAGGTGCTTGGTTGTGAATGAATCTAACTTCGGTTTTTAACACAATCGTACTTTAACAAATTATCTCTAAATTTTTAATTTTGATTATCAATCTTGAATTTGTTTAATCGTTATAATTAACTCTATTTGGCTAATGTCTTGTGAAATGGACGGACTTATTCTCTTGAAGGAAAAAAAATGTATTTTGATATGCACTTTGAGAGCAGAAGAGGAAGAAGGTTTTTTAAATTTTTTTATTTTGGCTTTTATTTTTTTTTAAATAATTGATTTATTTTTTTATTTTTTAAAGTCAAATGTTTTTATATTTATTTTTTATTATTTCTTACTATTTAATCACTTTTATTTATTTAATTAGAATTTAACATGTCTAATTAATTTTTGTCATGCCACATCAACAAATTATTTTTGCATTTGGATCTGTTTTGATAGATTAGGAGAATTTAAAGAAAGGGTTTATACTTCAGGAGGAGTATTTATAAAAATAATTCATCAAACCATCTATCCTTCTAATAATTATCACGTCATCAAATTCGTTATTTAAATAAACAGTATAGATAAAGTTAATAACGTTTTAAAGTTTAAAAAGTACGCAGACTAATTTTTAAAATTTGAGGACAAAGTGATAAAAAGAGACCAAAGAAAGGGTAATGATAAAAATTTATCCAAAATTTAAAGCTCGACCTTGTTAAACAAGAAGAAAAATCCGATGGTAAACCACATAAATAATACAAAATAACAGATAGAAAAGATAAAAGAAGATGCAACCACAAGAAAGTGTAAACGACAAAAAATTGAAAACGACAACATAAGAAGTGCAGGGCACTGAATTGAAAACGGCAACCATAGCGACACGAAAAATAAAAAGGCGCATACCAACGTAAACGACATAACTAATAAGAGAATTATACTTGAAAACAAGTAAAACAATGAAACTAAAAGGAAGTGAAACGAGATGAAAATGTGAATTAACAGTTATATTGCAAAGCCAGACGTCAAAAAGCGACAATGTATTTTATAAACGACAAGACCATTGAATACCATTATATCATCAATAAACGCCAGGCAGAAGCAGAACCCAATTTTATTAGACTAAAGTAATGCCTAACACGGTTTTGGACTAGTGGTATGGGATTTTAGGAGGGGTTGCATGCTCGATCCTATCTTGGATTAAAAAATAATAATAATAATAATAATAATTAATTTAGTCCTTCAACAATAAGAGTGAGTGCTTACATTTGAACCATAAGTCTATCGGATTATTTAAATATCCACTACTTAGATCTCGTTCATTTTACCAATTTGAGTTTTCAATTTCAGTTTTATTACTAGGGCTGTTCACGGGTTGCGTTGGTGCGGGGTAAGACTTTTTTTTCCCGCCCCAAAGGGTGCGGGTTGCACATATTTGGCCCCAATGATGTTAGAAAAATTTCACAACCCAACGATGTTCGGGTTGGGTTGGGGCGGTGCGAGGTGGGTTGGGTGGTCGATTTCAACATTCAAAAAATTAAAGACTTAAAGTTCAATATAATATTCAAACTTCATCATTAAATAGAAATAGCAACCATCCTTATCAGTCCGGCGAGAGAGCACTGGAGAAAGTAGGCAAGACGGCGGCCGAGAGGACTGAGCGATGAGGAGAGAGTTATGAGGGGGTTCACGGGAGGGGAGACCGAGAATGAGATTGTGAACCCTAATGTTAGCGAGCCTAGGGTAGAACTTAGGCAGTTCGGCTTGGGCCGAAAGCTTGGGGGTATGTTGTGCGGGTTGGGTTGGGGATTACGGGTTGTTATGGGCCCAACCCGCAATTCGCCCCAAACACTTCGGACCAGAGGTATAATGAGCCGCAAATTTAAAAATAATGCTGCGGGTTGTTTTTTTCAGCTTGGGTTGGGGCGGGGTGGGTTGGGTTTGCGGGTTGCTCGGATTTATGAACAGCCCTATTTATTACAGTTAAAAGCTCTCATAAAAAGTCATATCTAACTTTTTCTGTTACAGTGAAAAGCTCTCACATAAAATCACATATTAATTCGAATTGAAAACTCGAATCCGTGAGCTAAACGAGGGTTTGGACTCCAATATCATCAATGAAATCACGAAAAGACCTTATTTTATTTTACCATAGTACAACATCACACAATAGCATAAAATTAAGTAATAATCTCCCGCTTGATAGCTAGGGCAGACACCATTCTGCTGCAAAACCTGATAAAACATTGACCCACACTTCATTCAAGCGCCCAGTAAGGTGATGCGAAGAATTGTACTGAGCAATACCAAAAGAACTCTTATCCACTACAAGTGGTGTCTCCCAACTCTTGTTCACGTGCTTATTTAGGCTGTTCCAGAAACCTTCAACTTCTTTTCCAACGTTGTCATCCTCAGCAAATCCAGAAAAACTTCGGACAGCTACGCAGTGACTTCGCCGTTTGTCAAGCTGGAGATTCAGTTCAGGCAAGGGCTGTGGTGGAGGCGCTCTTTCATATTTTGTGCCCAGATAAAGCTTTATGTGATATTCTGACCCTTGTGTTGATGATGATGATGAATTAGAAATGATTTTTGTTAAGACGGGAGCAGTCAATGTAACTCTAGCGGAGTTAAGATTAGCCCCATGAAAGTATTGGTACAATCTGAATGAATATAAAAAGCGACAAACATTAATTTGTTATGTCAGACAAACGACACAATTTTATTGGTTTGTGAATAAAATTAAGCAAATTATAGTAGCTTCACAACACATCAAGGCCTTTTTAGGGTAATAAGATCACATAATCTTTGGGGATTCTACTTTAAAAATTATATATATAATTAGTTTTATCACATCCCTCATTCCTTTCGTCTAATACTATAACAAAAATTTATAGGCCCACTAATTAAATGGAAAGCACTTGAATCAAAAAGTAATTTGTTGGATTCTTAATCTAACATTGAGGTTATATGTTAATAATTATGTGTTGCAGACTGTCTTTAAATGAAAAACACTTGAATTAAAAAGTAATTTGTTGGATTCTTAATCTAACGTTAGTCTTAAATGTGAATAATTATGTGTTACAGACTGTCATTAAATGAAAAGCACTTGAATCAAAAAGTAATTCACTCAAATGATGGGCTCCATTTCACTCTCAACCACAACGAACCTAGCTAGTATTCTTAGAGGGAGATAATAAAGTATTAAACCTTTGAACCCACACTAAAAAGAGAAAAAGAGAAGATATTGGAACCGCTACACCACCACTTTGGTTGGTAGTTTATTCTTACGTGTTTGCTATCTAATCAGACCACAAGAACACAAGAAAAAAGAGGGAGGGGGGAAAAAAAGTGAGGGACTTGGTGGGGAAATTACCTGTGAAAGCCATCTTTGGTGGAGTTTTCGAATGAAGTTGTCCCTCGGACGAGAGCTGACATCCACGAGCATTCTCTGTAGAGTCTGACCTCGAAATCTGACTCTGAGTACACCACTGTGTAATGTGGTGATTCAATTGCGCAACCACTTTGTATAAAGATGCTAAACAAACGCATTGCCACAACAAATTGCACCATCATAAAGTTTGTGAAAATTGGTCTCTCCATCTTTAACTCTCACGTTTGCGCTTCAATATTTATTTGCTCTCGTCCTTTGGCTTATATATATATATATATATATAAGCGGGACATGTCCCATGAACAATTGCACATTTGTCCTTATAAAAGTGTTATCACTACACTAAATGCTACCACATAGTATTTCCATTTGTTATGTTTCCTTTGTGGCCGTTTGAGCCCACTAAAACCAAATACTAGTTTAGTAGTGCTTTTATGCAGTACTATATATGTTGTTTTCTTTAGTTTTTTCAGAGTTGGCAGCAAACGTGAGACTCAAAACTGTGGGCCGGAGCACTAAAATATTGACACTTGAAATTAAGGATGCATATTTATTCTTGAGTGGTTTGAGTGCCACGTTGAGCAAAAGGTGACGTTGCGAAAGATAAGCAAACAGATAGAATAGAATCCATTTGCCATGTTTTTTATTGTGGCGTTCCAGAAAAGAAAGACAAGTATATATACATGTCATCTAAACTATGATCATCCTCGTCGTTTATACATGTGGCGGCCTTTTCATTGACGGCTTGTTTGGTTCAACAATTCAAACGGTGAAGATTTAAATTTTTTTAATTAAAATTATAGAATTTGAACTGTAATGATTTAACTTGTGAACTAAACTGTTATTTAGATGTGTAAATAAATTATAATTTGAATTATGAATAAAATCTGAACTGTATTTAGATAAAGTGTTGAAAACTGTAATTAGAATTTTATAACAAATCTTACAACACCTCATCATAAATAACATTAAAAATATGTAATATATATGGGTGGAAATGTGTTCCTCTATTCATTATGAACACCTTAAAAAAAGCATCTCAATCGAAATTAAAATGAACAAGTTAGGACATTTTTAAGATTAGAATTGAAGAGAAAAAAAAAAATAGAATCTGAAACTATTGTATTGTTGACAACAATCTGGATTATTAAAATTTAGGAGGGGAGGTGCATTCTAAAATCAACAATTTGAATTGTCCTTAAACTATTGTTAATGGTTTAAATTGTCTTTGAATTTTTTTCTCCCAAATACCAATTTGAATCCTGAACTAAGGTTTGAATCTTAAACAACAATTTGAGTTGTTGAAAAGCCGAGTTTTACTCGAGAGGCAAATTTTAGGGCCTTTGACATAAGGATAGTTTAATTTGCTTAACCTAATGTACAACCCTACTAGCACTATTTGAGCTACAATTTGTTTATTTTTGTTTGCGTCGTTCTTGTTTCATTGCTGGCTTGCCTTGTTAAACATTCGATTTTTCTTTTTTCTTTTTTTTTAAATAATGATATTTGAGTGAAGGGTTTGATAGAGAATGAATTTTTTAGTAGGAGTCAACTTATAATTAAGATGTAATTTGTGAACTTTAATATCAGCTATCCTGTTTCTATTTAAAAAAAAAAAAAAAAACCTTAGTCCTAATGCAACTTAATTAATGTATACACTTGTTTCACTTCCAAATCACAAGTTGACTATGTGCATGAAACAGAAAAATTGAGTGTGTTTATTAATATTTGGTGCGCAATCAAAGTGTTTCATTTTGGCTGCTTTAGTGCCAACTTCCCTATAAAATTTGAGGTAAAACAATCTCATCATATATTATTAAGAAAGAGAAAATGCTGAAACACGACACTTGTAAAGTTCTACCTAATCCCGAATATCCTTTTGAAATCATAAGTGCGCAAAAGATAGGACAAGGAACTGATCTCCCACGATATCAAGTCAAAGATTTGGTTAACATTGGAATTTATAAATTTATTTTTGATATAGTGGATGAAAGTGGATGGCCAGATGCAGAAGTTTCAAACTACCTTTTTTTTTCATTCTCCTTTTTTTTTTTTTTTTTTTGGGTTCCTGCAAATTGTTTCTTAATTATATGGATTCTAACTTAGGGTCTGTTTAGTTAACTAATTTAAATTTTTAATTTAAATTAAGATATAATTGTATGTGAGAGCTTTTTAATGTAATAAAAAAGTTAGATGTGACTGTTTCTGAGAACTTTTTACTGTAATAAAACTCAAATTTTAAACTCAAATCAGTAAAATGAATGAGACCCTAGTGTATCTCAAATCAAACAAAGCATAGCACAAAGAGTAGCTCACGTGCCCATAGGGTCCTGTTTTCTTTTCTTTTTTTTCCACATATCTCACAAAGAGTAGCTCACGTGCCCACAGGGTGTCGTTTCCCAAAATATGGGCCTGGACACAAAAATCAGTACGAGATAGATAAGACCCTAATCCAATTGAACTTTGTCCCTATTATCAAGAGTTGGATGAGGTCACACGGAACCATGTTGGCCCAACAAAACAGTTTTAGCATTAGACCGTTTAGGTTTGGTTTGGATTATTATGGTTTGAGAGAAGTATTTCCACTTTGTTGTAAAGAGAATGAGTAATCTTGATAAATATTTTTTAAAAGTGTATATGAGTAAGAATTTTTATCCTTTATTCTTAGTTCATAATTTTTTTAGTCAAATAATTACACTAATAAATGAGTATTTATCAAGAGTTTAGGATAAAGGTCTAGACTCATACACTCTTAAGGATAAATTCTCTATTTTTTCAAAGAGAATCAATGTCTTTAGTTCGTCCTTCATAATGAAATTTTAGGGCCTATTTAAAGGATTACCAAAAAATGGTGTCAAGAAAAAAAATTATTTACACTGAATACCACAACTATGTCATCACAATATATTCATAATACCAAACATACCCTTACATTACCAGTTGTCAACTGGTTACTAACTAGTAACTGCTATGATACCAGCTGGTGACCAGTCAGTAACCGGCGTAATACCAGTTGGTAGCCGCCGAAATACTGGAGGGCCAATGGTTTTTGTATGGTAACTGTCGTGATACCAGCCAGTATCCAGTCGTGATACCAACGGAACTAATTGAAGCTTTCCATCAAAATACTTAAAAAAATCACAATAATTCACCAAATCAAACAAATATAACTTAAAAATGCATAAAACACAAAAAAAAAAAAAAAAAAAAATCAATGACAAGAAAACTCAGAAATAATTCCCATGCTGATGACGTCTTTGCCCCAATTGATCTTCATCTTCCTCAGCGACGGGATTCTGTTGAATGACCATTAAGCAGATCGACGAAGATCTAGCCTCCAATCGTGTAGCATACAAGATCTTGTCATTGTTATCATCACAAAGCTACAATCTTTCCATATTTCATCGTGAAGCGCGTAGGTCGGAAGAAGACCAGATCGATAGTACTGAGGAATACCAAATCTCTCAGAGATGTGTTGTGTGGATGAGAAAATATGATAGTTTAACTTTGAAGGTTGTTTAGACTTTTTAGTTTATCTTTCGTTCTACCATGTGGCAGAAAAACTATGAGAGTGTTTCCCCTTGTGGTAGAAGTCGATCATATGCAACATAATTGTTACGAAAAATACGAACGCAAGTGCACGTATCGTCCTATGAGGATTGATCGATATTAGCTACCGAAATTGTGTTAACACTAGCTTTATTTGAACATGTCAAAATAGGAGAATTGTTTGACGAAAATTAAACTAACAAAAATAAAAGAAAACAAGACTCGAATGATGATAAGAGAATGAGAATTCAATCAAAAAACAACTTTAGGGTTTCCGATTTTACCAAGATAAATCAAGTTCCAATCCCCAATTCCCAATCAATCAATGTTTGTTCCATGCTGACAGTGGATTTCTCTAAATTAATTAATAATCTTTCTCAAGCACTAGTAATCCTACCCAAACATGTAAACCCCATATCTCTGTCAAGATTTTAACATGTTGAAAGCATTAAGATTAGGAAATCATAATCACCACACTAGTCACATAACTATCTCTAGCTTATGATGCTCTAATGGTATTATAACCTATGGATATATTTAACCATCACTTTTCAGTCTCAAAATAAAACCCCAAATCATGCAAAAGTTCGCCAGACAATCACACGCATTAAGAACATATTATAACACCAGCACCATGGAATAAACATCGATTAAATTGAAAAACTAAGATTAATGAACAATCATGATCCGGCTATATTGTAGCCCTAGAAAATGAAATTAGAACATAATGGAAATAGAAAACATCATATCAAGTGAAGTCAACATATGAGAAAGAGGTCTAGAAGAAACTATTTTAAGGATTGAAGGCAAACGCCATTTTCAGTTGATTCGTCTTCTTCTTTGTCATACGGAAGCTTCTCTCCTCTTTTCAGCCGTCAAAAAGTCCCCTAAAAACCCTAAAAATCTTTGTTTATATATCTGGGATTCAAAAGGGTAAAATTGAAAACAAAATACACTTTTTCCTCAATTTCTCGCAGTTGGGTGTCGCAGCCCTCACTTCTGGCGCCGTGGCGTGGCACTCCTCAAGTCGTCCCACTAGCGTTGCGGCCTTGATTGTTGGGCGACGCAGCGCTCTTCAACTCGGCTTTCTAGCGCCGCGGCCTTAATCACCAGTGCCACAACGCTCGTATTTTCTGAATGCGATCATTTTATACTCTTTTTGTCTCCAATTCATTCCAAATCAATCCAGATGCTATCTCCTACCAGCCTATAAAAGTAACACAAAAACAAACGTAAATCCAATACTAAAGACTCGAAAACCAACAAAAAGTTAGAATTTAAACATCAAATTCGCGAGTATAAACTCACTCATCAATAATTACTCAAATTTTAGACTATGCAGGATTGAGCTTCTAGTGGTGAGAGTTATATTGAGCTTATTCTTATAAGTAGAATTAAGTTAGATTCTTCTCATTGTTTTTTATTTGTTTAAAATTTCTACTATAAACGAAAAGAACAGATGATAGAATGACACCAATAATCTTCTTTTGCGCGAGAAAACGGAAGTAAAAATATAAATCAAAGTTAAAATTTTAACTTCCTTAAATAAGTATAAAACTGCATTTTTCTCTGCAAAAGACATATTTTAAATCTTTTTATTAAAACTATTTGCTTGTGTCATGCGCACCTTGTTGAGCTTGCAAAAGCAATACCAAAATGACCACATGGCCCTTAGTTGTGTCCCAGGTCCCAATTGCAACTGAATTCTCCATTATTGCTAGTAAAATTATAAG